GTGAAAATATATATACTAAAGGTGTGATTGGTGGGTAATAATATATTAGACCTTAAGAATGTTTTTGATACAAAACCCTACCATAAGTCCTAAATAAAATTACTGGCTCTAGAACTTTATGGTAATTGTTAATCTAAACTCCCTCCTTTCTTGATGTTGCATTGGCGATTGATCGACTTAGTCACACTTTTTTTGAAGGTGGAGCAAAAGATATGGCACTAAAAGATTGTTCCTTAGATGGATAAGATGCATTAGCCTTGAGGAAGAAAAAGTAGACATGGCGAGCAACATAAAGTGTTGCATCATGTGACAAATAATGAGAAAGAGGTGGTGTGTTAGCGGAAAGCTCTTGCCGTTGAGATCACTATTCACTACAGATAACGATGTTAGAAACATAAACTGGTCAAATCAGATAGGTGTGAGGATATAAGAAAATATAAACGTCCAAATAGCGTTAAAGCATCAAGAAAAAATTAAGATATCATCATTATTAAGAAGAAGATTACCATGTCTGATAATCAATTTATAATCAGAATTTATGATCAGATTTACGGAGTGGTCATTGAAGGATGATAAGGTGAACGCAAGAAGACTGAGCTAAATTTCATTCGAAAAAAAAAAAACTTAGCTACATACTTGTTTATGTAATCTAAAATACATGATGTAGGCATCATTCGCAAGTATGACGCAACAAAAGACCAAACAGGTTGTTTACAAAATATTAAAATCCCAAATATTCGACCACCAAAAAATTGATTTTGTTAAGATTAAGCATTCGCTATGAATGATCGCATGGAAATTAAACAAGTGATTTTTTTTTTGTTAACCATAAAACAAGTAATTTTGTTCATGTTTAGACCAACATTGCGTAAGATTTTCATATTATCACTCTAAATTATGTTTTCAAATCTAATATGATATGAAACATTAGATAAGTTTAAACACAAAAACAAATCTTCTACAAAACGTCAAAGTGGAAGAAGAAAAAAATGAAATAAAGAGGAAGTTAGGAAAGAAAAAATGAAATAAATACCTTATAAAAATAAAAAATAAAGAATAATATGATTGAATCTAACAGAGATGGTTAACAAAAAAAAAACTCTGAGAGACGACTACAAATAAATTAGAGATGGTTAACAAAATAAATAAATTATTAGAGAAGATATAGATGAAAAAAAAACTATATAGAATAATAATAACAAACAAAAAATAAATTTCAATTGAAACTTAAGTTAATTAATTTAAAAAATGTCAATTGTTAAATATATAGAATGAATAAATCAATAGTATCATATATGTTATAAATATTAAATGTTAAAAAAATATCATATGACTTTTTAATGTATAACTAGAATTGAATTTAAACTTTAGTTAATTAATCTAAAAATCTCAATCGTTAAATATATTACCGGGCATAGCCCGGATATTTCTCTAGTTCTTTTAATTATAGTATTTCTTCTTCTATATTTCACTTCATTTAAGTATGAGTGCTATGTTTCATTCTAATTTTCTACTAACTAAATATAATTTTCATTAAACATATGATGTCATATTTTTTTAATCTTAAGGACCAAATTTGTTTTAAATTTTTTTTTTTTTTTTTGAAAAACACTTAAACCTCAAATTTTAAATAAAATAAACATTATAATAATCTTAATATAGTTATCTATTGGATCACAAAAACTAAATATAATGATACATATATTGAAAATGAATTGCAAAAATTTATTCGAGATAAGAAAGAGGTAAGAAAAAAAATATTTGATAAATGTATTAGAATTATTTATTTCATTATATATTGCATAACTAAAAAATACATTAATATTTACGTTAGAAAATAATCAAATATCCAACGTAAATAATGGAGATGGATATTTTCAACTTCATTCCCTTCTTGTGTGATGATTAAAATTGATATTTTTAACTTTCAATCTCCAATAAACCTAAAAGTTTTGTTATAGCCATCAAAACTTTTATTTTACATATGTTAATTCAAAATTAAAAATAGAAAAATTAAAGAAGAAATAGGTATAATCTATTATGGTGTTAAGAACAAAAAAAATGAGAAAAAAATAGAATCAAATTCTTACAATAATGTTTTTATTGATTTCAACCCATATAACAAAAAAAAAGATATATGAATATAGTAGAAGAGGATGAGAGAATGATTACTTATAAGATGATAATCTAAAATAGATAATGGAGATGAATCTTTAAACAAATCAGAAAACTAATGTAGAACTTAAATTTAGAATTAAGCTTTTACAATGATATTTAATTTGAGTTTTTAACCCATACAACGGGGATATAGCCCTTTCAACCCGAACATATTGTAAAGTGCGTTTTTATACCTCAACAAAGTTATAGTTCCTTTTTCAACCCCAACACTAAAATAATTTAACTAAACTACACAAATTATTAGATTTGAGTGTAAACCTACATTAACTTAAACAAAATTAGTCAAGCGTTTGTTTTCGCTCACTTAGACGACATGATGGCGACGATGTATCATTTATCTTAACCACATGACATTGTTTAAATTTATAAACTCAATCGAAAGACGTTATTTTGATCATTTGAATCCATAAACTCAACAAAACGACGATGTTTTGTTAACACAAAATAACACTGGTAAAGACAAGATGACACTTCCTTGTTAATGTATTGAGTTTATGGACTCAAATGACTAAAACGGCGTTATCCTTCATGACTATCATATCGTTTAATTAAGCAAAAACAAACAGTTGACTAATTTTGTTTAACCCAATGCAGTTGTTTAAATCTAATAGTTTGGGTAGTTGTTTTGAATTATTTTAGAGTTGAGGTTATAAAAAGTACTATATCTTTGTTGATATATAAAAACGTACTTTACAATTTGTTAACACAAAATAACACTTGTAAAGTCAAGATGACACTTCGTTGTTAATGTATTGAGTTTATGGACTCAAATGACTAAAACAACGTTATACTTCATGACCATCATATCATTTAATTAAGCAAAAACAAACAGTTGACTAATTTTGTTTAAGTCATTGTAGTTGCTCAAATCTAATAGTTTGGGTAGTTGTTTTGAATTATTTTAGTGTTGAGGTTGAAAAAAGCACTGTATCTTTGTTGATATATAAAAACGCACTTTACAATTTGTTCGGTTGAAAAAACAAATCAGAAAACTAATGTAGAACTTAAACTTTAGAATTAAGCTTTTACAATGATATTTAATTTGAGTTTTTTAACCCATACAACGGGGAAAGAGCCCTTTCAACCCGAACATATTGTAAAATACGTTTTTATACCTCAATAAAGTTATAATTCCTTTTTCAATCCCAACACTAAAATAATTTAACTAAACTACACAGATTATTAGATTTGAGTGTAAACCTACATTAACTTAAACAAAATTAGTCAAGCGTTTGTTTTCGCTCACTTAGACGACATGATGGCGATGATGTATCATTTAACTTAACCACATGACATTGTTTAAGTTTATAAACTCAATCGAACGACGTCGTTTTGATCATTTGAATCCATAAACTCAACAAAACGACGATGTTTGTTAACACAAAATAACACTGGTAAAGACAAGATGACACTTCCTTGTTAATGTATTGAGTTTACGGACTCAAATGACTAAAACGGCGTTATCCTTCATGACTATCATATCGTTTAATTAAGCAAAAACAAACAGTTAACTAATTTTGTTTAGTCAATGTAGTTGCCCAAATCTAATAGTTTGGGTAGTTGTTTTGAATTATTTTAGAGTTGAGGTTAAAAAAAGTACTATATCTTTGTTTTTATATAAAAACGTATTTTACAATTTGTTAACATAAAATAACACTTGTAAAGACAAGATGACACTTCGTTGTTAATGTATTGAGTTTATGGACTCAAATGACTAAAACGACGTTATCCTTCATGACCATCATATCGTTTAATTAGGCAAAAACAAACAGTAGACTAATTTTGTTTAAGTCACTGTAGTTGCTCAAATCTAATAGTTTGGGTAGTTTTTTTGAATTATTTTAGTGTTGAGGTTGAAAAAAGCACTGTATCTTTGTTGATATATAAAAACGCACTTTACAATTTGTTCGGTTGAAAAAACAAATCAGAAAACTAATGTAGAACTTAAAATTTAGAATTAAGCTTTTACAATGATATTTAATTTGAGTTTTTAAATCCATACAACGGGGAAAGAGCCCTTTTAACCCGAACATATTGTAAAATACGTTTTTATACCTCAACAAAGTTATAATTCCTTTTTCAACCCCAACACTAAAATAATTTAACTAAACTACACAGATTATTAGATTTGAGTGTAAACCTACATTAACTTAAACAAAATTAGTCAAGCGTTTGTTTTCGCTCACTTAGACGACATGATGGCGACGATGTATCATTTATCTTAACCACATGACATTGTTTAAGTTTATAAACTCAATCGAACGACGTCGTTTTGATCATTTGAATCCATAAAATCAACAAAACGACGATGTTTTGTTAACACAAAATAACACTGGTAAAGACAAGATGACGCTTCCTTGTTAATGTATTGAGTTTATGGACTCAAATGACTAAAACGGCGTTATCCTTCATGACTATCATATCGTTTAATTAAGCAAAAACAAACAGTTGACTAATTTTGTTTAAGTCAATGTAGTTGCCCAAATCTAATAGTTTGGGTAGTTGTTTTGAATTATTTTAGACTTGAGGTTGAAAAAAGCACTGTATTTTTGTTGATATATAAAAACGTACTTTACAATACGTTCAATTGAAAAAATCAATCAGAAAACTAATATAGAACTTAAAATTTAGAATTAAGCTTTTACAATGATATTTAATTTGAGTGACTGTTGCTGGAGATCATCAGATAAAGAAGTGAGTTTTGATGTTTTTTCGGTTTTAGACTTGGTTTAGGCCCAATCCTATCAGGACACTTGCTTATTGGCTGCACGTTTTCTTTGTGGCTTAGAATTATGATTGACCTTGGTTTCGTATTATTGATAATGAATCATCTTTCCAGGACTAATCCTGAGGCCAATGAACCAGTAACCCTATCAAGAGACACTGATACGGGAGATCATCAGATAAAGAAGTGAGTTTTGTTGTTTTTCAATTTTAGATTTAAGTTTTGGTTTTGTTTTTTCTTTTTCATTTTTTTCATTTTTGTATCTTGGTTTTTCATGGTTTTCAGGGTGTCGACTAAAACAAATCTGGATTTGGGATTTCCCTTGCGGTTATTTTCACTTGGTTGTGAACCGGAGTTTGTTAGAAGCATCAACTACCATAGCAAGATTAAATTTCTGCAAAAGGTGGAAAATGCTGTTGGACCAAAAGCGTGGAACCACATTTTTAATTCTCCATTGGGGGTAATTGCACGGTTCGTAGTCAATAATTTCAAATGGTCGTCTAAGGTTGTCGAAAACCTGCTTGTGAAGCAACTTGTCTGCGAGAAATATTACGAGATGTGGTGTTTGTTCGGTGGTACACCGGTTCGGTTTTCTCTGTCAGAGTTTGAAAACATAATGGGTCTTAACTATGCACATTTACCTGATGACAAGGAAATATATGTGATGACACATGTGCATAAAGTGCTGTGGACAAAGATAGGAATCAAGAAAAGTGAGAACCCAAGTAGGGATGATCTGATAAATGTGGTTGACCAGGTTGCAAGTTGGCGAGACGACGACGACAAAATTCGCTTTGCGTATTTGTCTATTTTAGCTACTGTCATCATCGGCAACGATGGCCAAAAACCGCTATGTAATCGAGCTCGTATGGTCATTGATTTGCCCAATTTTGAGGGTTATCCTTGGGGCAGATTGGCTTTTGAGACTCTGATTAAATCAGTGCAGCTTTGGAGCGAGGGTCAATCACAATACATGGGTTCATACAAGTACTTCAAATATGGATATACAATCTTTCTCCTAGTCTCGGAGTAAAGATTGATAATCTTTCAGGTACTAAAAGTCCTCCTCTTCTGAAGTTCAATGGCCAAAAATCGTATGGGAAAAAGGATATCGACATTGATAAGATCTTAGCTTATGATAAGGTATGTGGGCTGTTTCTTATGTTTGTGTTTGTGTTAATTCAATTTGTTTTGCCGTGAAAGATGTTGTTTTCACTTTCGTTTTCAATTTTGATCATTTTACCTTTGAAAGATGTTGATTTTACCTTGAAATATGTAGGAAATCATTAAGAATGTTTTCATCAATAAGTCAGAGCCACCTGTTTGGGATAAAGAAGGAGTGGATGAGAAAATTGACGCTCTTATGCAAGTCATATGCAAAGAAGGAGGTTTGGGAGCTGTTACTTGGGTCGATCATGGTTTGAAAAGCGTCAATAAGGAAAAAAACGACGGAAGAGTTCGTGGAGAGAAAATAAGGAAGAAAAAAAGAGAAGCTATGACTGAAGAGGATCAAGGAGATGGTGAAGAGAAAAAGATGATGAAAACGAGAGAACCTACTTATGAGGAATTATTTTTGAGAATCAAACATTTGGAGAATGAAGTGAAGATATTGAAAGGTAGAGATAGGAAGAAGAAGCAATGTAAGAGGAAAAAGACGAAATTACTTCTAACTTGAAGAAGCCATATTTCCTTATTGTGCATTAATACCATATTCCTTATTGTGCCTCGATATTTGAATTACTAATAGGTTACCAGATTAAAATCCTAATCATAGAAACCTGAAACTAAAGCCCAATATTTTTCACCAAAAATCCGAAACTAAAAACCAATATCTTTCACCTTTTAATTGAAAGCTACGTACACCATTTTAATTGACCCTTAGATTCAAGTGAAACAATTCCATCGAACTAACATATGCAATTCCAATATATCCCAAGCTATATACACCATTTTAATTGACACTTAGATTCAAGTGAAACGAATTCCCTCGAACTAACATATGCAATTTCTTCCTATTACTGTACTCCACATATAAAATTTAGAATTAAGCTTTTACAATGATATTTAATTTCATTGCTTTTTAACTTTTGAAGGGGCATTTTTTATTAGGTGCACATTAAAAGGGTTGAAAGGGCTATTTCCCCGTTGTATGGATTAAAAAACTCAAATTAAATATCATTGTAAAAGCTTAATTCTAAATTTTAAGTTCTATATTAGTTTTCTGATTTATTTTTTCAACCGAACAAATTGTAAAGTGCATTTTTATACCTCAACAAAGTTATAATTCCTTTTTCAACCCCAACACTAAAATAATTTAACTAAACTACACAGATTATTAGATTTGAGTGTAAACCTACATTAACTTAAACAAAATTAGTCAAGAGTTTGTTTTCGCTCACTTAGACGACATGATTGCGACGATGTATCATTTATCTTAACTACATGACATTGTTTAAGTTTATAAACTCAATCGAACGACGTCGTTTTGATCATTTGAATCCATAAACTCAACAAAACGACGATGTTTTGTTAACACAAAATAACACTGGTAAAGACAAGTTGACACTTCCTTGTTAATGTATTGAGTTTATGGAATCAAATGACTAAAACGGCGTTATCCTTCATGACTATCATATCGTTTAATTAAGCAAAAACAAACAGTTGACTAATTTTGTTTAACTCAATGCAGTTGTTTAAATCTAATAGTTTGGGTAGTTGTTTTGAATTATTTTAGAGTTGAGGTTGAAAAAAGTACTATATCTTTGTTGATATATAAAAACGTACTTTACAAAGATATAGTACTTTACAATTAAGATAACACTTCGTTGTTAATGTATTGAGTTTATGGACTCAAATGACTAAAACGACGTTATACATCATGACCATCATATCGTTTAATTAAGCAAAAACAAACAGTTGACTAATTTTGTTTAAGTCACTGTAGTTGCTCAAATCTAATAGTTTGGGTAGTTGTTTTGAATTATTTTAGTGTTGAGGTTGAAAAAAGCACTATATCTTTGTTGATATATAAAAACGCATTTTACAATTTGTTAGGTTGAGAAAACAAATCAGAAAACTAATGTAGAACTTAAAATTTAGAATTAAGCTTTTACAATGATATTTAATTTGAGTTTTTTAATCCATACAACGGGGAAAGAGCCTTTTCAATCCGAACATATTGTAAAGTACGTTTTTATACCTCAACAAAGTTATAATTTCTTTTTCAACCCCAACACTAAAATAATTTAACTAAACTACACAGATTATTAGATTTGAGTGTAAACCTACATTAACTTAAACTAAATTAGTCAAGCGTTTGTTTTCGCTCACTTAAACGACATGATGGCGATGATGTATCATTTATCTTAACCACATGACATTGTTTAAGTTTATAAACTCAATCGAACGACGTCGTTTTGATCATTTGAATCCATAAACTCAACAAACGACGATGTTTTGTTAACACAAAATAACACTGGTAAAGACAACATTACACTTCCTTGTTAATGTATTGAGTTTATGGACTCAAATGACTAAAACGGCGTTATCTTTCATGACTATCATATCGTTTAATTAAGCAAAAACAAACAGTTGACTAAATTTGTTTAAGTCAATGTAGGATCCCAAATCTATTAGTTTGGGTAGTTGTTTTGAATTATTTTAGAGTTGAGGTTGAAAAGAGTACTATATCTTTGTTGATATATAAAAACGTACTTTACAATTTGTTAACACAAAATAACACTTGTAAAGACAAGATGACACTTCGTTGTTAATGTATTGAGTTTATGGACTCAAATGACTAAAACGACGTTATCCTTCATGACCATCATATCGTTTAATTAAGCAAAAACAAACAGTTGACTAATTTTGTTTAAGTCACTGTAGTTGTTCAAATCTAATAGTTTGGGTAGTTGTTTTGAATTATTTTAGTGTTGAGGTTGAAAAAAGCACTGTATCTTTGTTGATATATAAAAACGCATTTTACAATTTGTTCGGTTGAAAAAACAAATCAGAAAACTAATATAGAACTTAAAATTTAGAATTAAGCTTTTACAATGATATTTAATTTGAGTTTTTTAACCCATACAACGGGGAAAAAGTCCTTTCAACCCGAACATATTGTAAAATACGTTTTTATACCTCAACAAAGTTATAGTTCATTTTTCAACTCCAACACTAAAATAATTTAACTAAACTACACAGATTATTAGATTTGAGTGTAAACCTACATTAACTTAAACAAAATTAGTCAAGCGTTTGTTTTCGCTCACTTAGACGACATGATGGCGACGATGTATCATTCCCCTTGTTAATGTATTGAGTTAAAAAATAAGTTCTATATTAAAAAAAAAAACACAAAAGAATAAAAAAAATAAAGATTTGAGATATAGTGGAAGATAATGAGAAAATGAGTATTTATAGGATGAGAATTGATAAGAGTTACAATTTTGAAAAATAAATATGTGTTAAATAAAATTGAGTGGAGAATATAGTTAATGCATAGTTTATATAATTTCGGTTTTATATTAAAATGTGAGTTAAATGTATATATTAAATGTGTTTTATTTGTGGTTTAATTAAAAAAAAATTTCAAAAAATTATATTGCCAAGTTGACCAATCAAAAGAGAGTGAAACCTTACTTTTATATATATGATTTATGAATAATCTTTTATCTATGAATAATCTTTGTCATCATATATACTTCTTCTTCTTATTCTTTTATCTATGAAACCTTACTTTTATATATATGATTTATGAATAATCTTTTATCTAACGTAAGTATGCAAACCCAATATTTATTTTTTGCCAAATCCTTTAAAAATAATTTAACAAGATGTTTTAAATCAAAGACCAAGCTATATATATGTTACTTCAAAGAAAACAGGTACCTAAAGAAATTTGAGTTAAACGTTTTGTTTTAAGACTATATATATATATATATATATATATATATATATATATATATATATATATTGTTTTCAACAAAATAAATGTTAAATAACTTTGAAGATTAGTTTTCTTAATTTCATTCAAAATTTGGAGATATAGTAAATCTGTTTTAATTTTTTATAGACCAACATTCGTTAAGATCTTGAAGGGCAAAATAACCATAGCGGAGATTTCATCAATTCTATATCTCGTTGCTCTCATGAGATTGTTGGACTACAGTCTATGGAGATGGATATATAGTTGTGACTGCACACTATGTAGATATGAAGTGGATATTGCATAGCAAAATTCTATCGTTTTGTGATATCCTTCCTCCTCACACCGATGATGCTTTAGCTAGTAAAATCCATGAATGCTTAAAGGAATGGGGAATAGAGAAAAAAGTATTTAGTTTGACTCTCGATAATGCTACAGCTAATGGAACATTGCAAGATATATTGAAAGATATGCTTAATTTAGATAATGATTTGTTATGCAAAGGAGAGTTTTTCCACGTGAGATGTTGTGCACATATCTTAAACCTCATTGTGCAAGATGGGTTAGACGTTATTATCGGTGCATTGACTAAGATTAGAGAGACTGTGAAGTATCTCAAAGGCTCAAAATCTAGACGTATTGCGCTAGCAGAATGCGTGGAGGGTGATTGTGAAGTCCTTTTGTCTTTGGATGTTCAAAATAGATGGAATTCTACGTACTTGATGCTTGAGAAAGCTTTAAAGTATGAGCGGGCATTAAATAGGTTTAGGTGGTTGACAAAAACTACAAACACTGCCCTACAAGTCAAGATTGGAAGAGAGCAAAGTTAATTCATGAGATTTTGATGCCCTTCTATAGTATCACTACTTTAATGTCTAGAAGGAGTTATTCTACATCTAACTTATACTTTGGACATATATGGATGATAGTGTTTGCTGGAATTGAATAGATACCACGATGACAACGTTATTCGTGAGATGATTTACAAGATGAGGCTGAAATATGATAAATATAGGGAGCTATACAGTGTGATTCTTGCGATGGGAGCTGTCTTAGATCCTAGGATGAAATTTAGACTTTTAAAGCGATGTTACGATGAGCTGGACCCATTCACTTCACAAGCAAAAATAGACCACCTCAAGAGTGAGCTTTATAAGCTCTTTGAAGAATATCAAAAAAAATTTCCTTTGACTCCAGTTGTATCTACAAGAGCAGGCTCTTGTGTTCTTGAACGAGGACGAGGGAACTTAGACGTGCAAGATGTAAGTTTCTATATTTGCAAGTTTAAGTACTCTTGACTTTATGAGTTTTAAGTTCTCTTGACTTTATGAGTTTTTTTGAGACTGTAATATGTTAAAATTCGTTTTCAGGATTTGTTTGACTTAGATGATGGTCCAGACTATATGGAAGAAGGAAAGTCGGCATTGGATATGTATTTGAAGGATCCAAAGCTAGAGATGAGAAGCCATCCTAATCTGAATATTTTGCAGTATTGGAAAGAGAATAGAAATCGTTTCGGCGCATTAACGTATATGGCAATGGACATTCTAAGCATACCCATAACCACTGTAGCTTTTGAGTCTTCATTTAGTATTGGATCTCATTTGATCAACAATTAAATACCGGAGTCGACTTCTTCCCAGTAACGTCCAAGCGTTACTATGTACTCGATCTTGGATACATGGTTACAAGGTTGATGATGAAGGTAAAAAATACTATTATTTATCAATTTATTTGCTTCACTTGGGTTAGTTTATATTACTAATATCTTCTCTTATGAATTGTAGATTGCGAGATAATCACTATTCGGTCGGATTCAAATTATGTGGAAGAACAATCTGTTGGAGAAGAACACACTAAAGATGAGAGCCAAGGTCAGTTTTTTATCTAGAACTTTAGCTATGCTTTTGGTAGATTTTATCTAATGTTTGTGTGTTTGATCTTTAAGTCTGTTAGAATTTTTTGAATTGTTGTGTATTGAATCACTCGAGTTATCTAATGTTTTAGATTTTATCTAATCAACAGGCTTCTCGCCAGAAAGCAATTCGTGAGTTCTCTTCTCTATGTTTCATTTTCAGTCTCACAGTGTTGCGTCTTCACTGTTCGAATAATAAAACTATAGTTTAGGTAGAAACAATCTTACAAGAACAGATTCATAGAGCATTTTGATGTTTTGGCCAATGTTTCAAAGGTAGGTTCTTTACTTACATTGGCTTGTGTCTATTACAATCCAAGTTTGTTGATTTGTGTATTGTTTCTTAGTGATTTGAGTAGATTCTGATGTTGTGTTTTGATTGGCAATTGTTGTGGGTGTTGCCAGTTTTATTTGGTTTAAAAATGGTTTATGGTACTTGTTTTGTTTGCAGCGGAAGAAGAAGCGTATGAGGAGGCTTAAGACGAAGAGACGAAAGATGAGACATCGATCCAAGTAATTTGGCTTTTGAAGTCAATTCGACGACTGTGTTTCTTGCTTCTCTCCTTCTATCTCTTGCAAACATTGATCTTAATCTTTATAACTATAGCTCTTCTTTATGCTTTTTAGACTTTTGTTTTAAGATTTTAATCAAAAAGAAAGTTTCAGACTTCATCTACCTCTTCACTGCTAGAATTTACACATTCTTTCTCCATTTTGTTTCAATCGGATATTTAATAAGTCAGGCACAATGTGTGTTACTTGATTCTTATTGAGATGATGATGATGATGATGATGATGATGATGATGATGATGATGATGATGATGATGATGATGATGATGATGATGATGATGATGATGATGATGATGATGATGATGATGATGATGATGATGATGATGATGATGATGATGATGATGATGATGATGATGATGATGATGATGATGATGATGATGATGAGATGATGATGATGATGATTGTAGTATGATAATTATTAATTATTAATTATGATAATTATTTAGATCATGGAAAATTTATTAAATAGATTAAATGAGTTTATCCATTAATCCAATAATTTAAATGAGTTATGGTTTCATCCAAACCATTTGCTAAATGAATTGGATTGACTCATCATCCATTATACACTAAACCCATATGGATATGGATTGGTTTGGTTTGGTTTAGGAATAAAGATGGCTGGCTACACGAAGTATCCGCGAAGACATGGCCACACATGCAAATGATGTTCTTGTTGCCAAACGTCCAACACTAATTACGTATTGTTTTTGTAACTAAATTTTTAAAATTTTATGTTGTATTTATTTCTTTAGTATATAAGATTGTATAATTGTATTTGAATGTTAATTGTAGGATTTCACCCGTGGTATACCATCCCGTATTAATATCGACCTAAACCCGTCCCACCATATAACTCTGTCCCGTGAAATTCAACATCATTTTTTATTTTTTTGCAATAATACTTTTATTTAAAAAGCATATAATTCGAGTCAATTTAAAAGTTTGCTTTCAAATGGTCCCAATAATATACATATTTTTGGAATTTAATAGAGTTCATCTATATTATTAATATTATAAACTTTTTCTAGAATTTAAATATTATAAATACTTTAAAAGTTTTATAAATTTAAATATTTCATAAAATTTTCACTATAAAAAATAATTAATCGCGGTGTACAGCGGGTCAAATATGATGATTTAGTGCAAATATATCAAATTTGGGCTAATTTTTTAAAACCTATCTACCTAATTTAAACATAAATATATGATGTTCCTTTTATATGACCGGAAGATGTTATTTTGAATTATTATAAAATACATACATAGTTAAAAATCGTAATTTTAAATATTTTATGATTATGTTATTTTGATAAATTATAACATCGTCCGGTCATATAACTTGTCCTACAATATTATAAATTTTTTATATGAATAATGAAAAGTTAGTTTACTTTTGTTGTCTTATGGAAAAAAAAAGAATAAAACCTGAGATTTGAAAAACTTTAATTTATTTCCCTAAATCTTAAAATCCACTTTCCATTTTTTTATATATCAAATAACCCTTTGCTATGCTTCTATCAAATAACCGGTTATCTATCAAACTTCATGAGACTCGCGTATCTCTTCAAATTCAGAGGTGTTTATTTGGACATAGACATGATTGTTTTTTCTTCGTTTGTAATTAACAATGAAACCTTCCTCTAAGATTCTTTTTTTTAGTTGAAACCCTAATTAAATCAATTTCTATAAAAAATCCCATCAGGATTGTTTGGGTTGATAATAATTAACCAATAAAAATTAGTCCAGACCCATATAAGTTGTCACGTCATCAATTACAATTACGTTTTTCTTCCCATAGCCCATTTGGTAAAATACGGTTCAAGCTGAAATCGAAACTCGAACCGGACTGTGATGGTGGTTTCAGATGGTGGCGAGCGAGTGAAGCTCAACGTTGGCGGCGAAGTCTTCGAAACCAACGCGTCAACAATTCAGTCATCTTGCCCAGACTCTCTTCTTGCTGCTCTATCGACTCCAACCTCCCATGGCTCAAATCCAGTTTTCATCGATCGTGACCCGGAGATTTTCGCCGTCATTCTCAATCTCCTCCGTATTGGTCGACTCCGAGCTAATTCCTCCGGCGCAAGCAAGAGCTACACGATGAGGCTATGTATTACGGCGTCGAATCACTCCTCAGATTGGCGATGTTACCGCCGTTGCTGCTAGGTTTCGATATGGATCTGTTTCGATGGAGGCGGTGATAGCGTACAGAGAAGTTGTGAAATAGATGGAGGCTTACCAAGAAATCAGCAAGGGTTTCCAAGCCGATATGGATATGTTTCGATGGAGGCGGTAATTGTGTTAAGAACTTGTGTTAGGAATTCCACCCGCGAAGCAAACCTCACGGTAACAGGTAACAATTGGCTGATGTTCTCTAATTAGATTGTAGATTTCTCGAGTACCTTACATGTCCTTTTTCCAGTTATTTGGCGACCAATCATAGTTATCCCGATTTTCTGTGATTTGAAGAGTAGAAAGCAGCGGCGGAGCCAATTAAGAGGGAGGGGGGCAGTTGACCCCCATAACATTTTAAAGTTTTGAAATTATAAGGTAAATTATCTAATGATTTTAGATATTTTGGTACAAAATTTCCTAGTTGACCCCTATGTCATGCCATAATTTTATGTCTTTGACCCCATTCATATTTAATTTTTCATTCAACATTAATTTTCTTTCTATGTTTGTTTTGTTTTTTCCTAAAAAATGATTACAATTCTCTAATGGTTTTTTTACATATTGATTCTTTTTCTTTGTATCATCGGATATCTTGTTTTTTTCGTTCTTTTTCTCAAAATTGTTTTGACATATATTTCTATAAAATATCATAAATCAAGATAAAATATATTATTTAATATTAATATGTAATTAAATAAAAATAATAATATATATGACCTCTATAAACAAAAATTCTGGCTCCGCCACAGGTAGAAAGTAAAGATTGAACCATGACTTGTGATATAAAGAAATGTTCACGTTTTTCATTCAACAGAAATGTTCACGTTTTTCATTCAACAGAAAGAAGAAGCTAAACATCTTGATCATGGTGGATGGCTCTTACAGTATGAAACCTTGGTTTACATCAGGTTAGTTCTTTCAAAATACTTGTGTTAGGAGAAATATTGACATTGACATATATTATTGAGAAAAGCAAAAAAGAAACCTTGAAAAGTTGTAAAACACAATTTATTCAAAAGCAAAATGGATCAAAGCAACTGAAAACCAAATTAAAACTCCAAACCACAGTAGCAATTCACTCTTTTTACTCAACAGGTCTTGTATATTGGCGCCACAAGTGTAACACTTTCAACAGGTCTTCCACTCTCTCATATCCCTCAAAACAGCAAATGATGCAACCATTGTTGCTGGTAAGGTTTCTGAACTTGTAATATATTACAATTTGGTAATGAGAAAGAATGTGTTTAGAGAGTGGAAAATGAACGACTATTTATAGAGTTTGGATAAGTATGTTATAGGGTTTAGAGAATATTTAAAAATATTAATGAGCAAGCATTTCGTATAATTCGAAATATTTAAATTGGGAAATAAAGAGAATATGCTAGGTTGATGCTTAAACAAATTAGGATAAAATCTTTTGGTTATGAAGCAATTTTCTTTTTGATAAGGTAAAATGAATATCGAATTATATGTAGGAAACAAATGATAAATGTAGCATTAAAATAGGAAACAGTTTGCCTTACGAAAATCAATTTGTTATAACTACATATACTCTCCATATCTTGAAAAAATCAGAGAGTAAATGTCTTTTGGATTAAATGTAGCGAGTATCGATTAAGGAATATCCGAGTCAAATATTTCGGGTAAAATAATCAAAAATGGAAGGATCCGATTGACAGATATACGGGTCAAATTTAATAGATTTCCGGTCAAAATTTCGACCCGATTGGGAACCCAAAAACTGCTGCAAAAATGTATAGTAGATTGACCCCCTTACTCTATTGTCTTGCGTCATTAATGATAATTTATTAGGTTTCCTATATATATAATTGATAATAATATTTTTTTATCACCTACAGTAATTGGTGTTCTCTTTGTTAAATCTTCTACCTCGATTTTTCAAGACGGAAATTTGGTTTCCTTTCTCTTTTTCTTTTTCTATTGAATTTTATTCTCAATTTGTGATACTTACCAAATTAATCAAACTTTAAATGAAATGCCTCTAGCCTAGTTAGGTCTGAGCATTCGTTTACTCAGTTTACGTTGTTCTTTTAGATGTCAGATATTTTAGATACCATTAAGGTATTTTAGAAATTTGTTTTTTTTTTTTTGGAAATTAGATATATAATTATATTCAAGTATTTCAAATACCCATTCGGTTCTCGTTTTGATTCCAACTATTCGGAGACTAGTTTTCGTTCGAATATTTATATCGGTTTCAGTTTGGTTTAGTACATTCCAATTCGGATCGGTTCCGGTTCTGTTTTTCACATCCGCTAAAGCCTAGTGCGCGTCACCATTAGTTACCCTCTCTTCTCAAATGGAGTTTGACTCGGTAAATATAGAAAACGGACTACTGGACCAGTCCATTGTGGCCCAACTCAAACTTTATATACACAGACATTTTCCTTCTTTCGTTCATTTTCTTTTCCAATCCTCCAATACAAATCATGGCAAGTGGTCTGAATGTGAATGACATGTGCTTGTCTAAATAAAAACATCCAAAGTAATTTTATTACATCATTACGTGATCTAGTTGTCTGTCCTAAATCCGTCATCAATGATACCTTCTTAATACGCAATCACTCGTCTACTTGGCATTTTCGAAAAACAAAAATACGAGTCCCTCTCCACTTCGAATTTCATTTTTTTTCTCACAGAGAAAATTTGACTCCTGTCGTGTGAATCCTGATCTCGCTTTAGATCGTGGAAAGCGTTCGACACATTTCCCCTTTTGAATTTGTCTTCTTCTTCTTCTTCTTCTCTTTTGCTTTGTTTTCTCCATTCTCGTTGAAGTTAGTGTAAACAATGGCGAAATTGAGATCGAAATGGTTAGGTTTAAGATCTGTAATCATGGTTTTAATCAATTTCTCTCTAGCTTTTGCTTTCGTTTCCGCTGAGAGAAGAATCATCAAAGGAAAATCTCTGAGGTTAAATTCAGATGAAACGCGGGAAAATGAATCAAGTTTCTTCCTTAAAGCTGTCAATTTTCTATGGGAATCTGATCAAATTGGTTATCGTCATGTTTGGCCTGTAAGTATCATTCTTCTAAGTTTCATCTCTTGTTTCAGAATTATGTGTTTATGTGGATTTTTGTATTCAGGAATTTGAGTTTAATTGGCAAATTGTTTTGGGAACTCTTGTTGGTTTCTTTGGAGCTGCGTTTGGTAGTGTTGGAGGTGTTGGTGGTGGTGGCATTTTTGTACCTATGCTTAGTTTGGTTATTGGGTTTGATCCTAAATCAGCTACAGCTATTTCAAAATGTAAGATTTTAGTTAACAACATTTATATGTTTTTGTCTTGGTGTTTTTTTTTTGACTAATAATGATGATTTTACTTAGGTATGATTATGGGTGCTTCTGTGTCAACTGTCTATTACAATCTTAGATTGAGGCATCCAACACTTGATATGCCAATCATTGATTATGATCTCGCGTTGCTGATCCAGCCTATGCTTATGCTTGGGATTAGTATTGGTGTTGCTTTTAATGTTATTTTTCCGGATTGGTTGGTTACAGTTCTACTCATCATCCTCTTTCTAGGTAATATGTTTTAGATATGTGTCTCTCCCCATCCGCGGTTAATTAGCCGTAAGGATCACCATTTCTTTTTTATCAATGTTTGCTTGTAGGCACATCAACAAAGGCGTTTTTGAAGGGTTCTGAGACTTGGAACAAGGAAACTATAGAGAAAAAGGTACCTCGCTAACTTCTTGCGAGGCACCATTTTTCGGTTTAGGCATATAGTATTCTTTGATGCCTTTTCTAGTACATTATTTTTTTTTTATGATCTTTGAGCCTCCTTCCATGGACCTATAGTTGAATATGATTATCCACCTAACACCTAACAGGGGTTGTTGTATCAATTTATTGCTAGATAGTGTCAATCTTAATGAATAATCACCAAACTATGTTTCTCTTTTGTGCTGCAGGAGGCTGCTAAGCGTTTAGAGTCAAATGGTGAGCTTAATCTTTGTTAGGGACCACCATTTTAAAATCTCTGTTTTGCTTTTATTGGGAAAACATTGCTCACATAATCCACTTTTTCGGTAGGTGTATCTGGGGCAGAAGTGGAATACGTGCCTCTTCCCGCAGCCCCGAGCACGAACCCTGGAAACAAAAAGAAAGAAGAAGTATATGATATTCTCTTTACACTAGTGATGGTTCTGTATTTGTAAGTTATGTCACAATTAACCATACTAATGTACTGCAGGTAAGTATTATTGAAAATGTATATTGGAAGGAACTGGGACTTCTCGTGTTTGTCTGGGTTGTGTTCCTGGCTCTGCAGATATCCAAGGTTAATTATTTCTCCTTTTCCAGAAATATACGCATACTTGTTCATGTTCAAACTTTATTGATACTTTTCATGTTCTACTATGGAACAGCAAAATCTGGCTAATTGTTCAGTAGCATATTGGGTCATAAATCTGTTACAGGTATAGTCAAACAAATACATATTTTTACAGAGAGATCCAAGTAAACTGTTTAGAGAAACTTACGCTTACCTACCGTCATGCAGATTCCGGTTGCAGTTGGTGTATCAGGCTATGAAGCAGTAGCTTTGTACCAGGGTAGAAGAATCATTGCATCTAAAGGGCAAGGAGACTCGAATTTCACCGTTGGTCAGCTAGTTATGTACTGTACATTTGGCATATTGGCAGGCATAGTTGGTGGTTTACTTGGTTTAGGTGGAGGTTTCATCATGGGTCCATTGTTCTTAGAGCTCGGTGTCCCGCCACAGGTGTGAATTTATTACAACATTATAATCGAGAATCACTTGTTTTTGTATAACTGGATTTAATATTTGTGTATATTCTTTTGGTAGGTCTCAAGTGCCACAGCCACTTTTGCAATGACTTTCTCTTCATCAATGTCTGTGGTAGAATACTATCTTCTCAAACGATTCCCTGTTCCTTATGGTGAGTTCTATGTTATTTTGTTCTATAAGGCCAAGAAAATCGATTAAACTTTCACGAAATCCTCACTATTTGTTTACTTTTATGCAGCTTTGTACCTTGTTGGAGTGGCAACAATTGCAGCTTTTGTAGGACAGCATGTAGTTAGAAGGCTCATTGCAGCTCTCGGCCGGGCATCTCTCATAATCTTCATCCTCGCGTCCATGATTTTTATCAGTGCGATATCGCTTGGTACATTATCTCCTTCTCACCCAAAAATATGTTTATTTTTGTTCTGCGTCAACCATATATTAGTGTTAATTTTTGCTTTGATATGTACATATCTGGTTATCTAGATTTTCAAATCAATCGAAATGGATATAACGAATACTTTGCGGCTTTGCGCAGCCACGGGCGTATTTTATCACCTTCGAAAAATATGTAACTTTTGTTATCGTTGTTTCTTTGTTCTTAGGTGGCGTGGGAATAGTGAACATGATCGGCAAAATCCAACGGCACGAGTACATGGGATTCGAAAACCTCTGCAAGTACGGTGGCTGACGTTGTACTCAGCATGTAACTTGTTAATTAAGTGTTAACTTATAAAGCTTCATTTTTGATGGCAAGACTACTTATGGTCTATTGATTGTGTGTTTGTGTCGTTTTTTAGATTTTAAAATCAAATTGTATTATTAGTAGTAGTACTAATTTTTTTTCTTTTCTTTATCATTGACTTATGGTTGGAAATGTAATTTATGGCAACTTTGTTCAATATCTCTTTTTGTTTTTCAAATGTACAATAAGAAATTTGTATGCCATCTTCATTTTTTTCATATAAAATAATTTAATAAATTTTATTTTTTGGCATATATATTGTGATTTGTATTTTAGAAAACGAACACAAATTAATGATAGATAAATAAAAACGTATCATTCTATTTACAGAACAATAAAATGTTATTTATTATATTTACGAAGGGCTTGAATGGTTTAAACTTATAAAGAAATGTTGTTTTTTTTTTTTTTTTTTTTTTTTTTGTCGGCCAAACATTCCATTAATATAACAAGTACAAACATTACAAGTTCAGAAATTACAGATCCCAAGAGATAGTAGAAGGGGAAGAATTACATCTAGCCCTTTTGGCTAGAGAGTCAGCTACATTGTTATCACTACGACGTATATATTTAAAAACATATGAGCTAAGAGCAACGGCCTGGATATCATCAAGATGTGGCTGAATTTCCAAGCATCCGGGCAACAAATGGAGCTGTTTCCTTGCCTTTTCCATGAAGCCATATAGAGTTCGCGAATCACCACAAAAGATAACATCCTTGTAATTTAAACGCTTTAGCTGCAAAATAGATTCTTTCAGGGCTATTGCTTCCGCCTCCAAAACAGAATTAACAGGGTCTATAGAAGAACAAGAAACATGCATAATAATAATGTAATTCTTTTATATGTGTAAGAACGTTAAACATCTTTTAAATAAAAAAAGAGGGAATATACAACATCAGAGAACCTGGGATGTGCATTTAGTCAATTAGTTAAGTCCATTTGACTCCGTCTTCCTACCAGAGTTCGACTCCACTAAATCGCGTTACCCCGCGTAATAGGGATTGACTATGAATCGGGTCTTATAGATCCAAAGATGTCAAAAAAAAAAAAAGAGAACCAAATACTGAATATAAAAAACAAAATGTACATTACAAATATATGTTTTTCTTTTCGAAAAGATTTTATATATATATATATATATAAAATCTTTTCGAAAAGAAAAACATATATATATATATATATATATATATATATATATATATATATATATATATATATATATATCAAATAGATGATGACCCGAGATAATTGGGCCGGGTATTGGATCCAAAACCGGCCCGATAACTTACAAGGATGGAGACATCAAACCTGAAAAACGCGGAGGTGGCGAAAGGAGACTCTATCTATTGGCGGGTAAACGAAAAACTCGAGAGAAGAAAATGGACGACGAGAGGATTCGTGAGAGAGAGAGACTTCAGATCGAGCAGATTCGTGAGCTTGATTTCGAGGAATTACAAGTCGAAGAAGTCGATGACCTTCACGATTCCGATTCCGATGATAATGATCATCTCTCTTCATTTCCCTTCTCTTCCCACGCTCAAGCTTCGTGAGCAATCTCTCCTCTTAACACTTTGTTTTCAATTTCCGTTACGATCCTTTGTTACTTACACTCTCTTCATCGTCTCGCTTGCTATTTCTAGTGACTACAAAAACCAGTTTCAAGTGTTTAAACCAGTTTTGATTTTCGAGTTTTTGCTTAGTTAGGGTTTCGTGATGTTTAATAGTTGCAAATATGTAGTCCTTTAGATAACATATTCAACGAATCGGTCATTGATTTTCTTTGCATTTGGTAATGGTTTTGACAGTGGTAACTTTGGTGATGATGAACTTATTTTCAACCCAGCTTTGGCTTCTTTACATATGTATCTTGGCGGTATGGATCGATTCTCTCGTCTTATGCCTTCCTCTCGAGGTGTTTTCCTATATGTTTGTGATATTTGAGCTTATCGTTTTATACTGTTTAATAGAGGTTGAGGACACTCAAAACAGAATTGCTTTTGTGGATGGAGGCACTGTTTTGAAGATCCCGCTTTTCTATCTTGAAGGTATTTTTAATTATATAGTGTAGTCATAGCTTTATTCTTTTAGTAGTTTAAGATTGTAATTGCATGTTCACTGACATGGGATGCTAACTTGAATTTAACGGGCACACCATGTTTCTTCGTCGGATTCAACAAGTACTGTTTCTTTGAACCAATTCGTGTAAGACATGTATGTTGTGAAGCGTCATATGTCCCCTCCTAGTGTTTTTGTACTCAGATATGTGTAAGACATTGACACTGCAATACTTCAGGAGTGGTTCTATTTCCTGAGGCAACACTACCCCTTAGAATCGTTCAGCCTAGTTTCTTGGCTGCTGTTGAGAGAGCTTTGAACCAAGCTAACGCTCCATCTACGATAGGTGTGGTAGGTGACTTAGTCTTTTGCTTTCCTTGTTTTGGATTCTCTAAATATCATGTTCTTTTCTACAAGAAAGAATTACTCTTCTTAAATTTATCCTGTTACCTTCAGATTCGTGTTTACAGAGAAGGGGCTCAGTTTAAGTATGCCAGTGTGGGGACAACCGCAGAGGTAATATTTCCTTTCCTTTCAAGTGATTGTTTGATGAAGTTATACCTTTGAGTTTTCTGTTTCTAAAACTTTATTTGCTTCGTCTCATCTTAAGACCTCTGCGGTTTTGTGTTTGAAATTTTCTGCAGTTTTGTATTTGGAATTGTGGGATCTGATATGATTGGTGGTAGCACCAACATATCCTAAGAAATAAATACAATTGAAAATTGGCATCCTTGTTGATTTTTCTTGCCTAAAATACTATGGACTTTAATTATTTGTGCAATGTTTCTGGAGCAATGCCTGAGACAGGGGTCTTGACGTAGGAAGTTGGGAAATGCTATGGTTTTTGGTTTATATTTTTAATTGGTGGAAATAATTTGGATCTTCTAGTTCTTGATGTGTAACATACTATTCTCGGTCTTAATCACAGATACGACAATACCGTCGACTTGGTGATGGTTCATTCAATGTTATTACTCGTGGACAACAACGGTTCCGTTTAAAGCGTCGCTGGACTGATGTTGAAGGATTTGTATGGACATTCTCTCATATATATACATACACACTCCTCTTATTTATTAGTAAAAGTGGGGAATGCATCTTTGTTTATTGTGAAAGAAGCTTATACTTTTAAACCCTTCTTGCAGCCTTGCGGAGAGGTTCAAATTGTTGATGAAGATGTGCCCTTGAGGACTCCCAGGGACGCGTTTGGGAAACTGGTACCGATAAGCAAGTTGCAAGCTCGCTACCCCTTGAGTACAGTGTCTTTATCTACACCTCTTAGAGATATGGAAGCAAATTCTGAAGAAAGTTTTGAAAGTGCTCTTTCTCCGTCAGAAAAAAGACTTCATTATTCAGTAGTTGACTCAATATTTTGTAACTCAACAAGTAGTGATGATGATCAAGTAGTCGGCACCTCTACAGTCCAATCTAGTGGGTCTAATCCATACAGCTCGAGGTCCATTGGATATTTAGCTTCTAGCCATGACGACGAAAATGAAGAAGAGCAATCGACAATTGGCAAGACTCCTGTCTCACAAGAGAAATATCAGAAGCAAAATAGGCTGGCAAGTTTCCGGGAAAGTACTGATCTAAGCCGATTCCGTATGACCCCAAGAGCATTTTGGCCATTCTGGGCGTATAGGATGTACGACTCATATTATCTTTCTCAAAGAGCAGCTGGTAAATTCCTTCTTTATTTTGATCATTTTCTAAAAGTAGCACACCTATTAAGAGTCTGCTAATGTTAAGATAAAATGCAGATCTGTGGAAGCAAATAGTTGGGGTTCCAAACATGGAGGCTTTTGTGAATAAACCAAATATTCTATCCTTTTCCATTGCTAGTAAAATTCCCGTGTCTGAGTCAATTAGACAAGAGCTCTTGGAGCTGGATGGAGTCTCCTATAGATTGCAGCGAGAAATTGAATTGCTTGAAAGTTTTGACCGTGTTCGATGTATACATTGTCAGGTATTTTGTGGGAGCATGGTAAATACCATTTCCATTTCCTCTTCATTGAATATTTTGTTTACTGATACAGTTGTATATTAATGCAGACTGTCATAGCAAGAAGAAAAGACATGTTGGTTATGTCTAATGAAGGTCCTCTTGGTGCCTACGTAAACCCACATGGCTATGTGCACGAGATAATGACCTTTTACAAAGCAAATGACATAGCGCTTAGAGGTAGACCTGTTAAAAAGGACAGCTGGTTTCCTGGGTAAGAGATTTTATTTAATGTTTGTCCTCGAGTCATTTTTATATTTGGACCACTTGACCTATTTCCTTCACTATACTTATCTCTACCTCAGTAATTTAGAAATCCTGCATTAGCATATAAAGCAGCTGGCGCAATTTGTTGTAAGAAATCCTGTAGATCAATTGTTCATAGGCATAGGGTAACTTGTTTAGAGTACTGGTTCTTGTACTTTATTAAGAAGACAAATCTGATTGATGTGTCTTAAATCCGCAGGTATGCATGGACAATTGCAAACTGTGCGACGTGTGAAACCCAACTTGGTTGGCTTTTCACAGCAACAAATAAGAAGTTGAAGCCATCATCTTTCTGGGCAGTTCGGGGCTCACAGGTCGCAGATGACATGCGCTGAAACAGCAGTAAAACCAGGTCTCACTTATGGATCAATTTGCGCTTCAATACCAAATTACCATAGAAAGGTTTCTACCTTTAACTTCCCCACTATGCTGAATATTACAAAATAGCTTGTGAAAGCGAAAAGCTGACTAGAGTATAGAATTCTAAAGTAATAACAAGACAGCTATGAGGATTTGATGTTTTCATCAATATGCATACATACATTATATATATACGCCCATGCACGCATGAAAGCATAGATGTGATGGAAGTACCCTAGGTAGGAAAACACGGGAATCTTGAATCTCTTATGGGTTTTGTGTAGACCTAAATGAATTGAACTCTCACTCTCAGTCATTTGCAGCATAACTTAGGTGATGCTTTTATTCAAAACGAAATAGAGGTTAAGGAATGGCTTTAAAACATGTATCACGAAGAGTTGGGCTAAGGATGGAATCAAAGTGTCAATTGGGATTGTCCCCTAAATCGTGTAGAATCCTGATTTCTACTTTGCTTGTATACGTTTTTTATAAATCAGTCGCCATGTGGTTATCAGATTTGACAATACAGAGAATGTATTGTGACATTGAGGCTATACTATTTTAGACATTGCAATTGGGACAATTAAGTTTATACATAAACCAAGATTATTATTTATTTGCAAAGAATAGGACATTTGGATCAAAACAAGGGCAGAAAATAGAAAATCAAGAAAGAGAACTGAAACAGCATGCTTGACTTGTTGATGACTGCTGTGAACTTGTACACTGCAACAAACACATTGTCAAGGATTAGCTGTAACCATTCAGATTGTCTTTAGCCTTTTCCACATTTCATCTTCATGCTTCAAACAATACTTTTGGAGTACGAAGAAAACATAACTACCATTCAACTTGGATACAAGCGGCAACAGTAGTACAGACGAGAGATGCCCTGTATTCTGCACTTAAAGTTTCACTACTTTACTTTACAATAGGGAAGAACTTCTGCTACAGAGTAGGGAATATCAACCAATATAACTGCTTAGAAGTGTCCATGTGTTGATCTCAGAAAACAAATTATTAAATTTCCAATAGGAACATCGGTAAGCCAGTATCACCTCATTTTCAGCGGTAGAGAAGCCAAAGATGAAGACCAGAAGGTTCAAAGATCCTCCCTGGTTCCTACACGATTAACGGAAAACAGCATGCAAGGAACACAATAAAATCACAAGACAAAACTTTGAAGGCAGGTATAATAAATACCAGAAACATTCTTCACCAAAGAGTTCCATCTTCATTACTGCCACATAAAAATCAAACCATGGCTCTCACTTTGAATAAATCAACATTAGTTGAAGATAATAAGACCATTTAATCTAAGAAATTTGAACTTCTTTCATCAAACAAGTCATCCAAGTTGAAAAGCAAGGTAAACTTTTGAAGTCATACACTACATTACAGCATCAGTGAAGTTTGGCAAACATTCATTCAACCTTGCTAACAGGTTCCCCTAAGCCCATAGCATCACTGATCACAACGATTCTTCTTTCTTATCCGATATATGGTAAAGCTAAATTGAGTTGCATCCTAACAAAAATTAGAACTTCATGACACAGTTCGACCATAGCAAATCGATGCGATGTAAAGATTCTTGCCCCATTTTTCCTGCAGAAGAAAAAGTGACTAGAAGTTACACCCCAGGAAGTTGGAAAGCCAAATAACATAGATAAAGAAATAATAGACCAGCAAGCAAACCTTGACATGGTTACTAGGAAATGCAGACGTTCTAAGAGTCTCCTGTGTCTCATCAGTAAGCTTCCTTCTTGGCACACTAAGAACAAAGGCAGCCTGATCCCAAGTTGCAGCAACTGATGTAATTCGGTAGCCATTTTCCCATCGACGATGTATACCTTCACTAGGGTATAGAAAATCTAGTTCTACAACCTGCATCACAAAAAAAAAAAACCCATAATATAATGATGTAATTCAATGCGATTCATGGCTAGACCCAAACAATAAATAAACTTCACAGGACCTGGTCAGAAAAATTAGCTCCACGAGACATTACAATTCCCCATTTGCTTCCAGCAGTTGCCATTGATGTAACATAAAATCCTTCCCTCCACTTTTTATTTATCCACTTAAAGGGAAAAGAATCGCTGACTTTGTAGGATTGTTGTAAATACTGGGTCCCTGAATACAAAGAATGAAAGCTGTGAAACAGAGATAAAACGGAAATAACTGTTACACCTGCATTCAAAAGGAATAAAACAACATTACCTTTCGACATAACCACGAATGAGCTCCCATTATTTGCTCCTGCTACTGCTGTAATATAGTAATTCTTTTCCCATTGTTCCATAATCCATTCCTATGAGATGACAAATAAAGGCAAAAATACACAAGTTGGAGAATATCATAATATGGAAGTGATAACAGCAAGGCAGACATGACGAATGACTACCCCAGAATACTGAATGAAGCTACCTTGTGGAGAAAGCTTGGTGATAGCTGGTAAACTTGATCCGTAAAGAGAGTTCCTGCATCCATGATCAAAGCCCAGAGATCCGCGCAAGAAGCCACACTGCTGATAAATAACCCATCCTCAGTTCCTTTTTCAATGTGCTGTGCAAGCCTTGTATCAGTAACATTATAATGATATCTGCACAAAGATAAAAGACATGTCAGCTGCATTCTCATCTACGTACATATTAAGAATTCTCAAGTATGATCCAAGGTAGCACCGTTGTTTCATTGGTCTGTGAGCACTGTAAATGCTGATCCATTGTGTTGCTGGCATGCCCAATCTGATCTTCTTTGTTGGTTGTTCGTCCTCCTCGTCCATTGTCAGCCTCCCCCTCTTTTGACCCACTTGATGTATGAGCTTCACACCAGAAAAACACAAAAAAGCTTTAAACATTCTAGACTGGACCTAAAGAGTAAAACCTCAATAAATGTGTCATAAAGGAGATCATCAAATCACCTTCTGTGCACCCTCAGTATTTATCGGCCTAATGTCTGGGTTTGGGCCGACTATTCCATCAAAAAGGGAGATATATTTAGCATAGTCAGGCTCCTCATCAAACTTCAAGTTGACAACATGCTCGACAAATTGACGAAAAGGTTGGGGGCAGAAGCAGCAAAGAGTTTCTGGGGACGTAGCCATCTTCTTCTTGCAAACAAGGAAACCTTTGTTCTCTCCCTAAAAATAAGAAGTTAATGATTGGCAAGGAAAAATGCCAAAAAATAAAATTATTTAACTTTTAGAGCCCCCAACCTGGTACCCTTGCCATGGAAGCCGGCCTCGAAGAAGGAAAACAAGAGTGTAAGCAAGAGATTCCAGGTCATCCCTCCGACTACAAGTTCTGCCAAGATGAGCATGTACACTAGCATAACGTACTGTTCCTCTGAGAATGCAAAAAAGCCAAAATATTAATAAGTAACATAAGACTGAAGTAACTGATAAGAATCAATCTCACAGGCTCTATGCCTACTCGATCAACTTACCTAAAAACATCAGGACGCTGGTCATATTCAACATGAAGTCCAGTAGCAGTATCACGCCATTTGGTTGCTGCAAGATCAACAAATTGGATAAGCAGCACAAAGAAAGTAAAGTATGCTTGCTCTTACTACAAAATACAGTATACCTAAGCCGAGGTCGACAAGGAAAAGTTTTTTCTCTTCAGGAGTTCCGGGAGGCCCAAGCAGAAAATTCTCTGGTTTTACATCGCCATGCACATATCTGCCAGAGACAGGAGAATATAAGAAAATTACAGCTATCTAAAGCAAGAGAGTTGCAGTAGGTGGTACCATCAGCAAGAATATAAGAAACTTACCCCCTAGAATGCATCTTTTCCAATATGGATATTGCCTCAATCGCAATGCACGCAACCATCTCTGTTGACATCCTGCAATGTATAAAACAAACAAAGTATATGGTGAGTACCAATATAAAATGGCTCATCTCAGAAACATATCTGCTCATCAATGGTTTATAATATAACGTAATAATAACGTAAAGGTTTCTCAGGTGGAATGCTCACGCTTGAGTGGTACTATTCCAAACATCCCATAAGCTAGGCCCTAGAATATCCATAACCTGTATGAAAGATTGAAAACTGTAATTAGTCATACTGCAAGTATCTATGAACAGAAAGTGCTCTTGGTCAAACATAGCTAAAGTCAACATACCATCACGTAAAAATCTCCTTGCCGACCTTTAAAATGAACTCGTGGCACACCATGACTGCCACCAAGTGCACTGGACAAACAGATGAGAAAGCATACATTAGTTATCTCACCCTTTTATAAACAAACTATTTGAACAAGCAGAAGAAGAAACCAAAGCACTCACTTGTAAACTTGCCACTCATACGGTGGCCCATAGTTACACCCTTTGCTGGTTCTATGCTCAAACTTCAAAGCCACCTACAAAAGTAAACTCATCAAAATTACATTACAAGCCATACGAAATCAAAAGAAAGCAAGTAAACTTCCAAACACAAACAGCATACCTCCAGAGCTCCGGGACCAAATCTCGCATTAGAAGTGCTCGTTCCCATCTTTCGACCAACATAAACTTGTCCAAAACCTCCTTTCCCTAGCTTTCTATCTAACTTGTACATGGGGGAACCACCAACCGAAACCTGTAAAACCAATGAGTCAATAATCAAATCATCTTACATGAGAAAGTTCAAAACTTTAGTGACATGCCCTAATCAAAAACACAACACACAATGCAAGAGACAATTCCCATGAACTAAAACTTCGCAGAAACAACAAAACCAACAATAAAGGTGACACCTTTTCAGGAAGTGGAGGAGTGTTTCCTTCATCATCAGGCACTGGTGCTGCTTGACCACCACTATCGTTTTCATCCATCTTCTTATCTTCTCTCGAAACCCTAATCTCTTCTTCCTCTTTCACCAAAGGCGTCGCCTTTTCTGCTTCTACGATCGTCTCCTTCACCACCACTTTCTTCTTCTGCCGCCTCGGGTTTCTCCTAACTGGTGATTGTTTCAAAGCAATTGGGTTCTTCTGGTTCGGCTTCGGGTTCTTATTAGCCCGATCTCTGCGTGCGTTGCTACGCAGCTCAGGCATCGTACGTCTGGTCCATGGAACGATCGAACTCACTGGGAAAGAAAGAAGCTTCCAGAACCATCTGATGGATACAATCTTCGTGAATTGAAGATAACGAAGAGAGAGAGATCAAGAAGATGAATCTGAGAGCTGCAAATCCAAATGGGTAGAGAGATTTTGGGGATTTATGAGACTTGGCAATCGAAGAATCTAAAGACTCTGATTTTTTTACCTACTTAAGGGATCTTCTTATTTATGGTTTTTTTTTTGTTCTGTTTCTTCACACACCCTTGAATCTATGGGTTTTTAATGTTTTTTTCTTTTATCTAATAGTATGGACTTTGGACATGAATAACTTGGATTTATCAAATCTGCAATACATAAATTTTTAATTGACCAAATCTAAGTGTCTTGAAGGGGTGGTAACAAGTTTTTTTTTTGTTGGAATGTTTTTCTTTCTAAACGTTTTCAAAACGCCGACGGGAATGTTGGTCGGCGATTTAAATCGCCGGTTAAAAGGAGAAATGATATATCTTGTTTTCTTTTTAGTGTTAAGTTTTCAAAACTTGGGATGAGTATGGACGAAGATTTGGGTTGATTTATTCAAAATTTGGCGCGAATCGAATTCATCAACAGAATAGTAAATCGCCGACTAAAAGATAAAAGAGAAAAGAGATATATATATATATATATATATATATATATATATATATATACTTGTATATGTGAAATGTTAAATTTTCAAAACTGGGATGAATATCAACGAAGATTTGGGTTGATTTTATTCAAAATTTGGTGCGAATCGAATTAATCGATAAAATAGTAAATCGTTGGCTAAAAAGAGAAATGAGATTTTTTTTTTTATGATCTTCCATAGAAGAATTGTTAAATTTTCAAAACTGGGATGAATAGTAACAAAAATTTGTGTTGATTTTTTTTTAAATTTGACGCGAATCGAATTCATCAATAGAACGGTGCGTAATGGTTGTCGAGTCCTAACTCTGTTTCGATCTGCATTATGATGGGAGTTTGGATATCCTCTTTCTTATCCTTCTTTATATATAAAGTTAACGTTACAGTTGATTCCATATCTTATTTGTGAATCATACTTATTCAACAAGTTATTATAATACTGCAAGAAATTATTAGGCTCTCGAAGATTTTGTTGGGATCCATTACTGTTATCATGGTTCCGAAGAGAAAATTGGCTCCAATCAAAATACTTTCTTTGGATAAATTAGATATGTTGCAAAACTATTATCTAATCGTTATAGACAACTCAAGGCATTGCTCAAAAGCATTTATTGTTCTTCCCATGTGTGAGATTCCTAAGGGTGGTTTCATTGATTAGATATGGAAATGGTAGGTTTCATTTCAAGTTTAACTCTTAATATTATCTCTTCTCGGCTATGGAAAAAAGATCATTTTATTTCGACTGAATGATTACGGCAAAATGTTAGGATTCGAGTGTTCGTCAAGATTTCCTTTGGGTTCAAATTATCATGAAAGGTCTTGGTGAACTCATCCATTGGAATGTTGAATCAACTTCTATTAGTGTTTATGATATGTTCAGATTGCGCCATGTGATGAGCTCAAATTTTTGTTTGATACGTACATAAGTTGCTGAAGTTTTCCCTGTCATTGTAATCACCTTACCACAATGCCATTTTTTTCAATACATAAGACATACTAAAAAAAGATTTGTCCATGATATGAATATTAAACCAATTAAGAGATTATATGAAGATGGGTTTATCCTGGAACTTTTCCAAAAACGACGGATAATACCTTTACATCAGCCTACAAAGTAATAATAAAAAACATAAAAAATTTCTATATATAATAGCCATTATAGTTAACTCATTAAGAGCATTTGTATGGATGATTCAAATTTCGAACAATTTCAATTATTTATAGCAAGCTTGTGATTGGGCTCCCTGCTCCTCTCATAAACACAAAGTCGGGCTCTTTCAATGCACCACTTTGTGGTAGGCGTTGGCTTCATGTACTTCCTCCTCCCACGTTTCACTCTCTTTCCGAATATCCTGATAGTGACTCTTAGGAATATTTGTCTTAGATAGGCCTTTTTAAGTCACTTTTCCGTCTACTTTCTTGTCTTACTTTTTTTTGCTTCTTTGTTTGTGACCTTGAATTAATGTAACTTCGCCGTAGGGCTTCTAGTAAATTAAAAAAAGATTTTACCTCTATAACCTTCTTGAGAATTGTTCACACATCTACATGTAAGATCTACATTCTTCCTTATCTTGTCAATCTTTCTTCATGGACTCAGTTTGGTTGTTTGGCCGTGAAAAGTAACGTTTTATTCAAATTTTGTTGCTTCTAGAAAAATTACCTAAGAAGATCCGAATTACTTTGTCTCCTCCTCGCATGCAAAGGTTCCTTTTGATGGGTGAGCGGGGGTAGATTGGTTGACATATGAGGACTCTCTTAAAACATAGGAAGATATAGAGATTCCTACAAGTTAGGCTCTCTGAAAGCCTTCGACATGTTCCCCTCTTGTAGAAGTGGATATGTTCAGATCCAACTTTCTATGAGAATTTGGGTTGCTTCATTTGGTTCTCTCACCGGGCTGCTTGTAGTCCTTCTCAAGAGTATTTAATGAGGTTTGGTCGGTTTTGCCTCGGTTCTAGCAGATAAATGTAGGAGCGCAAAATCCGAATTGAGAAAATATGCGAATTTTATTAATATAACGATAAACAGAAACGACCCGATAAAAGAACTCTACCACAACAATTGATTTTCTTTTGCAGACCATCACCTTGCCTTGGCGGGATCCCGACAAGATGGAAAGGGGTGATGTCACTATTTTTTGGAGACTTCAGCCGACGGTTTTCTCCTTAGCATAATGACTATAATCTTCTCCTTGTAGTGCTAAAATATTCAACAAACATTTTGGTTAAGCCAATCTATGGTGGTCTTCGAAACTGTAAATGCGCAATTGCTAGAGAGTAGATATAATTGCGTCAATGAAGGAACCATCTAGGTATGAGGAAGCATTTGAAGGAGGGTCACTTCTCATAAACAATTTAATGCTCAAGTCAAGGAGGTTCGAAAAAGGATTAGAAAACATAGATTGCATATAAATTACTATACGAATGCATTATTATTTAATATATATATATATATATTAAATAATAATGCATTCGTATATTTATATATATATATATGTTTTTTCTTTTAGTTAAATTGTGTTCTACGAGAAAGAGGTTCATCTCCGAGAAATGATGCTCACATTTTTATTTATAAGAAGTTTTCTCAATGAGATTGGGATACTAGATAAAAAAATTGTGGATTAATGGTTCACATGTTGACTACCCGCATGAACTAGGTACATAATAGATTCTACGGCGCTAGACTACGTACCATAATATACCACCAAAGTATCGCTTGTGTAAGTTGGCGCAATGATGTCTCTAGTCCTCCCTCATTATGTCATGTCATTAGTTGTATATGTGCAAGATATATACTCTGATTTTAGAATAAATAATTGTTTAAGAAATAAATCAAAAAATATTTCAACTAATGCCTTATTATTTTATTTACTAGTAAATTTTCAGTCTCACATTTAGCAAAATTTTAAAAACTGCCACAATCCATTAACACTTAAAAAAATAAAATAAAAAGAAAAAATCTTTGAAAAGTTACCATAATACACATGGTATTTGTTGTTACCACGGACCACTATCTTTCATATTCCCAAGAAGTGATAATGATAACACTTGCCAAACGCATCAATATCAAAAACAGATTCTTCTCACTATATTGGCATCACCCTTTAAGGTACGTAATCAAATTTCCTTCTCCAAATTGTTTATACATAATTCCATGATAAAACAAATAGTTTACATATGAGATTTTTACATAAATGTCACAAGACTCATAACAAAAACACTATACATATAACATATCTAATTTCATATCTAGATCCTCTCTCTTTGACATGGAAAAAGCTTCAAGCCCTGAAAAATGGCGAGCCAAAGTGTCAACTACGCTCACAAAGGCAAAGCCTGACCAAATTTGGCTTCTCTTCACCGATTTCTTCAACCTCCACAAGTGGCTTCCAACGCTCGTCACGTGTCACGGCGTCCACGGCAACAACGGTGAGCCCGGCTGCATCAGATTCTGCTCTAGCTCCGCCATACGATCCAACGGTGTAGAATCTGCCGCGGGATGGTCGAAGGAAAAGCTGGTGGCCGTTGATCCTGTGGAACGTGTGATGAGATACGAGATAGTGGAGAGTAACATTGGATTCGAATCCTACGTTTCGACGGTGAAGATATCGCCACGTGGTGAAGATGGAGACGTTGATGGTTGCGTGATAGAGTGGAGTTTCACCGTTGATCCAGTGAGAGGATTGTCTTTAGATGATTTGGTGATGAAGTATGAGAAAGCACTAGAGGTAATCACCAAGAACATGGAAGAAGAGGCTTTGACAAGAAGAGAGTCTTCTTAGAAATGTTGTTGATACGCTCATATCGCAAATATGCTTTTAACAAAACCCTTTTAAGATTTGGGTGAATTTGTAAGATGATAGAGCATAAACAAAAAAATATGGCACATGTATGAGTAAAACGAGGGGTTATTGTTTAAATGGGCACTTGTTGGGCCTAATATTTGAGAATTAACATTTGCAATGAGAGTGATTCACAAAAACTACACCCTAAAGGAACTAGTTCATAGTGAACCCGAGGGGAATACCAAACGATTGGAAATTGAGAAGCTTAAAATCTCGTTTTTTGTTTTCCTGAACTTTCAAAATTGAAGATCTCAACGACATCAGTGAGAATTATGAGGGGAATTTTTCATCTTCATCGAGATGTGATCACATCTCGATATGTAAGCCACCACCCCCGCTTCTCCTTGCAGTCTAAACCGTCATAGACTCATAGTCGTAGACTCGCCAAAGCTCACCATCGTCACTGCCTTTGGCACTCGAGATCTTGTCGTCGTTCTCTTGCGTCTTATTTCATCTGAAGCGATAAAAACGAAAAATCATATATATAAAAGTAATGTTTCACTCTTTCTTTATTGGTCTATTTGTCAATGTAACTTAAAAAAAATATTATGTCTAATTAAATCACAAATAACATATTTAGTTATATACATTTAAGTCATACAAATCATTTATATCATGCATTTACTATATTTCTCCACTCAATTGTATTCAACACACAATAAATTAACATTGTAACTCCGGCCCACTATTTATTTTCTAAATTGTAACTCCCATAACTTTTCATCTTATAAATACTCATTCTCTTATTTTCTCATTCTATCATCCTCTTCCACTATATCTCAAATCTTTACTTTTCTTTTGTTTTGTTTAACTTTTTTTTTTGGTGTTGTTGTTGCATGTGTTAAAAAAAATCACTTTAAATATCATTGTAAAGCTTAATTCTATATGATGTATATATCTTACATTTTTTTATAAGATTTATATCCATATTCTATTTTAGATTATCATCTTATAAGTAATCATTTTCTCATCTTCTTCCACTATATTCATGTATCCATTTTTTATGTTGTTATATGAGTTCAAAATCAAAGGAAACATCATCGTAAGGATTTGATTTTAAATTTATTTTAGAAAGTATGATATATATCTAACATTCTCTTCAAATTTTAGTTTATTTCTAACGCCATTATACATATTTCTTCTTTAGTTTTCATACTTTTAATTTAAATTCACATATATAAAATAAAAATTTTGATGACTATAACAAACTTTCAGGTTTATTGGTGATGGATGATTAAAATTATTCAAGGGTTTCACTCTCTCTTTATTGGTCCACTTGACAATTTATTTTAAAATATAATATTTCTTTTCAATTAAACTAAAAATGTAACACATTTAATCATATACATTAATTCATACTTTAAATCCACACTTTACTACTAAATTGTAATTAAAATTACATAATTGTGAATTGACTATTTTTTTCTCTATTCATTGTCATTTAAACACACTATAATTATAATTGTAACTCCTATAATCTAATTATTTTAGAAATATAACTTCAATCACTTCTTTTCCTATAAATAATCATTCTCACATCCTCCTCCACCATGTCCCAAATGCTAAATATTTTCTTTGTTTTGTTTATGTTCTTGCATGGGTTGAAAACTCAATTAAGATATCATTGTAAGAGTTTAATTATATATTTTGTTTAATATATATCTTACATAATTTTTAATTTTATTTCTTCTTTGTATTTATGTACTCCTTCTTTCCTTCTTTGCTTTTTTTTATAATATTTTTTAATTTAAAATTATATATGTATAATATAATTTTGATAGCTATGATAAAATTACCTTATTGATGCAGATTCAAAAATATTAGTTCCGACCATCGCACAATAAGGAAATCAAGCTAAAGAAAACTCTCTTCATTTTTTTTAACTTTGGATGTTTGATTATTTCTTACATATTTATGTATATTTATTTTATTTTTAAAAGTATGCAATGTTTTCACGAAATAATATTTTGTAATACAATTATCAAATTAATATTCTTTAACTCTCTCTTACATCCAAAAATATTGTAAGAAATTTTTTTAGTATACTCATCATTATATTTAGCTCTTTTGATTCAACATATAATTATATAAAGATCATAAAAAATTATTTAATTCAAATTTTGTAGTGTAAGGATTTTTTTATACATATAAAAAAATTTGATATTCCATTTCCAATCTAACTTGTACTACAAAGATGAAATCATTAGAATTAAACCTAGCAATATAACTTAAATTAAGTGGAATATAAAAAGAGATTAAAAAATGAAAGTAATCTTTGGGATTTTTTTTAAGCTTTTGATTGCACTTCATATGACTTTATAGGAAATATATTTAATTTGTTATTTACAAAATAATTTGAAAAATACGTTAGGTTATGTGTTAGTTTCTATCAACAACTTAGACTAAATATTTGAATATCATTGTAAAGTTTCATTTTTATTAGTAATAATATTTATTTTACCTCGAATGCTCAAAAATACTAAATAAAATTATTATTATAGTTGAACAATATAAAAACGAATAAATTTCATGAGATTTCTATGTATTATTATATTAAATAAGATATATTTTTATATTATATAATTTGAATAAATATAAGTGTAGAAAATATTATTGACATTTAGAAAACTTATTTTTTTTTCTATTTTAAAATTATTATTAAATAAATTTACATTATCTAACATAAATAATTTTATAACAACTCGAGCATATGCGCGGAACATGACCTAGTTAAAATAGAAGTCAAATTGTTTTAGTTTTTTTTTTTTTTTTCTGTTAGAACTATTTTTTCAGTCAATCTTGATATTAAATTTCTACAAATCATAACTATTTGTGCCACATCATCAGCCAACAATTTGCATATCTCGGGATTTAAAATTTTAAATCAATTAAGAAATCAAAATTTATACCATATACAGCACTACCTAATTATTACTATTATTTTGTTAAAGACCACTGCTTAATTAAAAAAAAAAACTTCCAACAATGAATTAGGGTTAGCAATGAAATCTTGCATTTGTTTAATATTTTTTTTACCATAATGATAATATATGAAAAAATTCCTTTTTAACCAAATGCAATTTAAAAACTTTTTAAACTCTTACTTTGATTTGCGACGATATAAATAAATGTCAATGATCTTTTTGTCAAAATACTAAATGCTTTTTTCACAAATATGGAAAATTAATTAATAGTAAGAGATTTTGCAAGACCAAAAGCTTTATAAATTGAACTTCCTGTCTACTATATTTTATAAGTTTCATAGAAAAATTTGTTTATTATGGGTATTACAAAAACTATTGTGCCTTGTTTTCTTGTAATAATATTTCTAGTTTCGTTGTGCAACCACAATGTTTTGGTTTTAGGTATGTTTAAATTTGATCTAGTTTAATTAAAATTAGTATGGATCATTATAAAAGCAATAGCTAAACATGTAGAATTTGTAATTACTATGTTTTTATTACAGTTAATATGTATGTTGGTTTGTGATCTTAAAAAAAATCTATGTATGTTGGATTGTGTAGGTGAAGTGATGGAAAAAATCTCATATGACCACTGCGATACGTTGTGTACACCTTATTACGGATGGCATGAATGTTTAACTGACTGTAATAATGAAGGCTGGGCAACTGGGATATGTGCTTCTCGTTCTCCTAAAGAGCCTAAGAGATGTTGTTGTCAAACGTAATCTTTTTATTAAAAGAAAAAAACACACATAATCTTTGCTATAATGAATGATTGATGATTCGAGTGTTGTAAAAAAAATCCTATGGAATTTATTGAAAATAAAACCAAAAAAAAACTATTTATGATAAAAACGTTTTTTAATCAAAGGCAAATAACATTATAGTGACGTTATAAACTCTTTAGAAAATCAAACGTTATAAACTCTTTAGACCAATTTATCTTTTATTGGTCCGGACATTGTGGATGTAGGATTCACACTCGATTATCTTTAAGTATTTTTGTGGAGAAAAACTCTAAAATCAACGAATGAATATAAGAATTCGAAAGAGAAATTAACCAAGAAAAGAATAAAATAAAGGAATTTGATAAGAACGAAAATATAAAAAGCCTTGCGTAATTGTAAGAGAAAAGTATGTTGTATTGCTTGATAGTAGTCAGTAAAAGATTGTCTCTCCCCAAACACATGCGTTTGAGGTTGTTTTTATAGAGAAAACATGATTAATGCGGCTATTTACTACTCGTAATCATATTGATCCGCATTAATCACATAAGTTACATTTTGACCGAAACGGCTTGAATTTGAACTTGTCTTGGGCTTCACGTGGGCCTTCCGAATTCTTTTTTGCTGACTCCGAACTCCCATGCTTTGATGCTACCGCGAACCCCGAACAGTATTCTCCTCGCTTCGGCCTTTCTCTATACGAATTGTATGTTGAATAAGAGCGAACTCCATACTGGTAAAGATCGAACTCCTTTGGTAAACTGAATCGAACTCCCAACTGGTCAAGTCTGATAAAGTATCTAGAAATCCGAGAGGATTATTGTGTAATAATGACGTGGACAGATCCAAGTGGATCCTAACGAAAATGTGTGGGATCCGACCCCAACATTTAGCCCCCCAAGTCTTGCGAGCTGAGTGCTCGGCTTGGAAGACTCAAGTAAACAGTAATTAATGACTTGAGATCTTTAACATTCTGGAATTTCTTCATGTTTTACGCTGTTACGCCGATCTCGGATAATCAGATGATTTGATTTCCCTGACAACCGTCATCATTAATTTCTTAATTTTATATTAATACTGCGGGGGAAACTGTCCCGCTTCCCAATGTTCTCGAGGCGGTCTTTCATCATACTTTAGAGTTCTAAGAGGTAATATTACTTTTCCATCTTATCTTCTTTACCTAGAAAACTTTCATTCTCATTACAGAAGTCATTGTCTTCTTTCGGTAAAAAATCCCTTCCGTAAGATGTCGAACCTTTCCTCTGAATTTCGCGAATATGAGGTTGATGATTTCGAAGCTCTCATGGGTGAAGGAACCGAACCTCAAATCCAAACCGGAGACGGGTTTGATCTTCATCCCCAGAGTGAATCGACTGTCAATTCTCTTAACGATCTTCGTAGATTATGTCACATCCCCCCTGAGGTGGAGATGGTAGTTCCGGAGCCCTACGAATCTCCGGAGTCGGGGCGAGAAGGTTACTGCTGCGCCTATGAAATCTATTTCAAAGGGTGCGGCTTATTCCTTCCCCTTCCTGAGATACTTCTCCTCTACCTCAACCATCTGGGAATTGCCTTCTCCCAGATGTCGCCCAACATGCTCCGGTATCTTTTATGTACCTTCACTGTTGCGGTGGAGGCGGGTTACTCGCTGGGACTTAGCGAGCTCTTGGAACTCTTCCAGGCTCGCGAATCCCAAACTTCTGGGTATTATACCCTTTATCCGATCGTGGATCGAAATCTTATTGATGGCCTGCCCTTAAAGGACAACGAGTTCTTCTTTCGCATAAATAATTTTTCTATTCAGAGTTCTTCCGAACTCCTTCGAATCCACTGGTCATCGAATTTGGGTAGAAACTAGGACTTAACTGAATAAATTTCCTATGTTATTTCAAACTGCGTTTCAACATTTCCTTGTTTTCTTGTAGGTCCCCAAATTCGGCCAGTCCCATCCGTTGATTTTCTCAACTTCTACAAGGCCGTCTTGGAGAGGCCAGTTAATTGGAATTCTTTTACTTTGGAAAGAATTCACGGTGCCGGATTTTCTGTCAGAATGAGCCTCACTCACCCCGTCGACACTCTTCCTGCTGAGATTGATCTCTCGAGTCTGAATGCCCGAGACATGAGAAAGATCAAAGAGGCAAACAAAAAGATCAAAGATCAGATTTCCCTAGTCGGGAGAAATAAGAAAAATGCAGCTTCCACCGGGGATGACAAAGTCTACCGGAAAACTCTCCTAGTTGACGATGGATCTCTTGAAGGTTCAAAGTCAATGGCGGTTGCTGTGAACAATGCTCCTCCCTCCACCTCAGTAGCAGACAACGTGGTCGCTGCCACTGCTGAGGAGGAAGGCCTTACAGGTGATTCTTCTCTCATGAAGAAGAGGAAGGCCGAGGATGTAAATCTTGACTCAGGAATTGCTTTAAAGGAACCGCTAGGTTCAGGGATGTTACCCCCTAGACGTCCCCGAGGCAGCTGCTGAGGAGCTCGAACGTAAAAATGAGTCTCTTTCCGAACTGAAAGATCGCGATGTTCGCAAAATATCTCATGATGCTCGGAAGGAGGTTAAGGGAGGTGGGCAAAAGTTTCTTCTTGCTGTGCAGGAATTTATCGCTGCAGATAAAGCTTGGAACAAACTTAAGCTAAGCTAAGCTCCTCAGCCATATTTGAATTTGCAGCAGTTTGCTTCTAAGTTCGCTGATTCCCCTCCACTGACTGAACCAAATATTGGTTTGTCTCTGGACGAGATGATGTTAACTGGTTCTCCTCGCGCTCATTTTAATGAGTTTGGAACCAACGTTGACAAAATCTCCTCGGGACGAGCTCAGGGGTTCTCTGGTCAGGATCTCGCCATCTCCTCGATTATGGGAGACGATTTTGAATTGAGGAGCAAACCCCCTCAAGATGCTAGCTCGCTTAATCCTAAGGTGGTTCTCTCAACTCAAGATGCTAACATCGGGGATGCTCCTGTCTCAAGTCAAGTAGGAGATGAAAGCGATTCGCCTATGAATGAATGATGGTGATTGCATTCACCTTTTCTGGGGATTGTCCCTTTAATTTTAAGACATGAAATTTTCTTTGTTGGCCATGGGGCCGTTTTGTTACTTTTGAGTTTTTTGCCCAAGGGGGCTTTTATTACTTGTTTTGAATAATTTGCCCAAGGGGGATTTTAATTAAAATTTCTTTAGAAAGAAATATTTAATTTTGGTGGAAACCATCGATTTTACCTGGAGGGTTTGCAAAGTCCTCCTAACCGAAATCTACTATACATTTTTGCAGCAGTTTTTGGGGTCCCCAATCGGGTCAAAATTTATTTAATTTTGACCCGAAAATTTAATGATTTCGACCCGGAATTAATGACTCTCGGATCCTTCCAATTTTGATTATTTTACCCGAAATATTTGACTCGGATCATTCCTTAATCAATACTCCTTACATTAAATCCAATAGACATTTACTCTCTGATTTTTTCAAGATATGGAGAGTATATGTAGTTATAACAAATTGATTTTCGTAAGGCAAACTGTTTCCTATTTTAATGCTACATTTATCATTTGTTTCCTACATATAATTCGATATTCATTTCACTTTATCGAAAAGGAAATTGCTTCATAACCAAAAGGTTTTATCGTAATTTGTTTAAGCATCAACCTAGCATATTCTCTGTATTTCCCAACTTAAAAGATTTCGAATTATACGAAATGCTTGCTCATCAAGATTTTTAAATATTCTCTAAACCCTATAACATACTAACTATCCAAACTCTATAAATAGTCGTTCATTTTCCACTCTCTAAACACATTCTTTCTCATCACCATATTGCAATATATTACAAGTTCAGAAACCTTACCAGCAACAATGGCTGCATCATCTGTTGAAGGTGTTCCACTTGTGGCGCCAATATACAAGACCTGTTGAGGGTTTTTAGTCTTAAAGTCAAGATTGAGTAAAAAGAGTGAATTGCTACTGTGGTTTGGAGTTTTAATTTGGTTTTCAGTTGCTTTGATCCATGTTCTTTTATTTTGATTATTTATTGTTGTTTTAATATTATGGTTTTTGCAATGATTTACGTGTTTGCTTCAAGTTTGGTTTTCCAGCTTTTCCAATTGGTTATTGAATAAACTGTGTGTTTACAACTTTTAAAAGTTTCTATTTTACTTTTCTCAATAACATATGTCAATGTGAATATTTCTCCTAACACTAAGTATTCTGAAAGAACTAACCTGATGTAAACCAAGGTTTCATACTGTAAGAGCCCTCCACTGTGATCAAGATGTTGAACTTCTTCTTTCTGTTGAATGAAAAACGTGAACATTCTCTTTAGAAATAGATCTACAGGGATGTGCTTAACTTACACTTACAGTAGTGTATTGACTTTTATGATTATGACTAATGAGAGTTAGTTTAACCAAATTCCTTATTTACTTTGAATCTATGGAGGATTTCAACAACAATATGTAAAAATTGATTTGTAAGTCTCAGTATATGTAAGACTATTTGGTTAAATATATAACAGACTTGAAGAAAAAGATGGTTGTTCTGATTTTTAGCTTTCTTTATATCACAAGTCATGGTTCAATCTTTACTTTCTACTCTTCAAATCACAGAAAATCGGGATAAGTATGATTGGTGGCCAAATAACCGGAAAAGAGACATATAAGGTACTCGAGAAATCTATAATCTAATTAGAGAACAGAAGCCAATTGTTACCTGTTACCGTGAGGTTTGGTTCGCGGGTGGAATTCCTAACACAAGTTATTGACGCAATCACCGCCTCCATTGAAACAGATCCATATCGCCATATCGGCTTGGAAACTCTTGCTGATTGCTTGGTAAGCCTCCATCTATTTCACAACTTCTCTGTACGCTATCACCACCTCCATCGAAACAGATACATATCAAAACCTAGCAGCAACGGCGGTAACATCGCCAATCTGAGGAGTGATTCGACGCCGTAATACATAGCCTCATTGTGTAGCTCTTGCTTGGAGAAAACGCCGGAGGAATTAGCTCGGAGTCGACCAGTACGGAGGAGATTGAGAATGACGGCGAAAGTATCCGGGTCATGATCGATGAAAACCAGATTTGAGCCATGGGAGGTTGGAGTCGATAGAGCCGCAAGAAGAGAGTCTAGGCAACATGACTGAATTGTAGACGCGTTGGTTTCGAAGACTTCGCCGCCAACGTTAAGCTTCACTCGCTCGCCGCCATCGGAAACCACCATCACAGTCCGGTTCGAGTTTCGATTTCAGCTTGAACCGTATTTTACCAAATGGGCTATGGGAAGAAAAACGTAATTGTAATTGATGACGTGACAACTTATATGGGCCTGGACTAATCTTTATTGGTTAATTATTATCAACCCAAACAATCCTGATGGGATTTTTATACAAATTGATTTAATTAGGGTTTTAATTGAAAAAAAAAAGAATCTTAGTGGAAGGTTTCATTGTTAATTACAAACGAAGAAAAAAAAATCATGTCTGTGTCCAAATAAACATTGCCGAATTTGAAGAGATACACGAGTCTCATGAGGTTTGATAGTTAACCGGTTATTTGATAGAAGCATAGCAGGGGGTTATTTGATATATTAAGAAAATGGAAAATGAATTTTAAGATTTAGAAAAATAAATTATAGTTTTTCAATTCTCAGGTTTTATTCTTTTTTTTCTTCCATAAGACAATAAGAGTCAACTATTTATCATTCGTTTTTCAATTCTCAGGTTTTATTCTTTTCATTATTCATATAAAAAATTTATACTATTGTAGGAGAAGTTATATGACCGGACGATGTTATAATTTATCAAAATAACGTAATCATAAAAATTTTAAAATTAGGATTTTTAACTATATGTATTTTATAATAATTCAAAATAACATCTTCCGGTCATATAAAATGAACATCCTATATTTATGTTTAAATTAGGTAGATAGATTTAAAAAAATAGCCCAAATTTGTTATATTTGCACTATATCATCATATTTGACCCGCTGTACACCGCGATTAAATATTTTTATATGATGGGACGAGTTTAGGTCGATATTAATACGAGACGGTATACCACGGGTGAAATCCTACAATTAACATTCAAATACAATTATACAATTTTATATACTAAAGAAATAAATACAACTTAAAATTTTAAAAATTAGTTACAAAAAACTGATCCGCGGTATACAACAAAAAATAAAATACACAACAAATTCTTCAATTTATAAAAAATTAAAAAATTAAATAATTAACCCGCGGTGTACCGCGGGTCATATCATAGTGGTTTAAGATTATAGGAGAAAAAGGCTGATCAGACCAACTTGCCTTTTTTAAAAAAAAAACATTAGAATTTTTCCTCGGTCTCTCGGTTGCGAGGTTAGAGCTCGGCTTACAGGAACACTTCGTGATACTTCGAAATGTGTTTGATTAGAAAAATTTTCGGTAAGAACTGTTTGCTTTTCTTAATAAGGACAAAAAGGTTTAATACCATTTAATAAATGTCCTTGAATTTCTCGCTCGAAATTAAGTTCGCCTACTAGGTGTTAAGTGATACTTGAATAACCTATATTTCGTAGGTCTTGTTTATGCATGCACGCAAAAATCGAAAGACAGTAACTGTCAAATCAATAGATTGACGTTCAACTTTCTTTTCAATAAATACTCGAGTGAGTGTCCTTATATAATTTTTCTATATAAGGAGAGTTGGATTTTGGAAATTTTCCAATAGATATTTTTCTTCATAAGGAACTTTGCAGTTCTTCTTTTTTAGATTTTCGATGGCCTCTCCCCAAGGCGAACCTTCTGATCTCAATCCACCACGATTTCCTTCGGGTGAATCTCTGTTTCCAACGGGGGATGGATTTACTCCTCAAGGGGTAGCCATTCCTTGTTTCCTTTCTTCCATGTCTAAGGAGGAAAAGAGTGCCACGAATTCATGGAACAGGTTTGACCTCGATACAAGTTGCTTCAAGGTTTTACTCGATAGATTCGTAATGCATCTGTTCTTTGCAGATCACCGAAAGGTACGTTTTCCTCTGCTCCGAAAGGCAACGCCTTGGAAGGAAACGCCGTGTCCTTGAGGAGAGAATTGCTATAACTGAGAGGAAAATCCGACGTTTGGAGTCGGATGTTCATAACTGGGAGAGGAGGGGATTTGACTCTATCGCTCGCATTTCTGGCTGCCTTCGAGAACACATCAGGTTTCTGAAGAAGCACTGGGACATCTACCAAAGGAGCCTTGAGCCCGACGAACGTGAAAACGGTTCGTCATCTGACGAAATCCCTTCTACGAACTCTCCTCCTTCTTAGTTATTTTTTATTTTATTTTATAATATTCTATCGGGCTAGCTGCCCAGCGACATTAATTACATTGCCCCTTTTGCTTTAAATTTGCCGATTTACTCAAATCTTATCTAATGCGATTAATCTAGGGAATATAATTTAGCAATTAACTCGATAACATTTTCCTATAAAAGTAGTAATTTCAGATTTAGAAAATCGTCAATTAACCCTCTTAAATGTGGTCGAGTACTTTTCGAGTATAAAGTAGGTGTAGTTTATCATTGAGTTTTATCAACAACAATTCCACAAAAAATGTTCGAGGAAGGTAATTCTTCGGAGAATCCTTCCGACTCATTCAAAGTGATAAGTGATGATCTTCCGGGGGAGTCAGATATCAAGCTTATAAAAGCAGGAGAATCTGGCGAACCAGAAGATTCACGAATATTGAGGAAGGGAACCAGCATTCAGGTTCCGATCGTATTAATCGAGAGATTGTCAGCTCAAGATCGTGTCAAGGCCGAGGAGTTTATTAACAAGGTATTATCCATCCTAGTGATTTAACTCTTTTTGTTATTGCTAAACGAAGCGTTTTATTTTCTTCAGCTTATCATTCGGCACGACGAGCTCGAAGATGAGAAAAAAGAGATTAGGAAGAAGAGAAGGGGACTAGGGAAGCGTTGCCTCGACATTGCTCGCGAGCTTCATCGCCTCGAAGTCCATCCTTCCGATTGGATCGAACTAGGACTTCAGGAGTACGGAAATATGCCAGGTTGCATTATGAGCATCGTTGACCTCGCAGGTACTTTATATTCACGCCCGAGGATAAAAAATAAGATTCCATGATTTGAAATAATATTTTTATTTTTATAGCTGGACTCGTGTTTAGCGAGCTGCCTACGTACCCAAAATAGGATCAAGCCAAATCGTAGTTCGAAATATTTTTATTTTAGCAATAAAACTTTTTCAAGTTGATGATATTCCAAGATCTTTGAACGGGATTACCGTCGAGGTCTTGTAAACGGTATACACCATTTCGGATTTTTTCTGTAATTTGATAAGGGCCTTCCCAGTTAATACCGAGTTTTCCAGCTCCTTCTTCTTTTGTGTTATCGAACACTCGCCTTAAAACAAAGTCCCCTACATTTAAAGGTCTGTTTTTCAACTTTGAGTTATAGTATCGAGCGGTCAATTGTTGATAATTCTGAAGTCGAATAAGGGATTGGTCTCGCCTTTCATCGATTGTATCGAGAACATCTTCTAATAATTTAGAATTCGATTCCACGTTAAGTGGAGCTTCGCTCCGGCGCAAACCAGGAACATTCAGCTCAGCTGGGACTACAGCTTCCATCCCATAAACTAATGAGAATGGAGTTTCTCCTATTGCTCGCCTCGGGGTTGTTCGATAAGCCCACAACACAGGTTGCAGCTCGTCATACCATCCACCTTTTCGAGCACTCAAGCGTTTTTTAAGATTGCTGAGAATGGTTTTATTGGAAGCTTCCGCTTGTCCATTTCCTTGAGGATACCTCGGCGTTGAGTAGCTAAGTTTTATTCCCCAAGCAGAACAAAAATCTTCAAAATCATTTGAAATGAATTGAGGCCCATTGTCCGTTACTATTTCGTAGGGAACTCCATAGCGACAAATAATGTGTTTCCACAAGAATGTCTTTACTACAGAATTTTGTATGCTTATATAAGCTTCAGCTTCAATCCATTTGTAAAAATAGTCCGTTAGAACTAATAAGTATTGGACGCCCCGTGTTGAACGATGCATCGGACCAACTATATCCATTGACCATCTCATGAAAGGGTATGGAGCGGATATAGATGACAAAAATTCTGACTGTTGGTGAATAAGAGGAGCGTGCATTTGGCATTTCTTACACCGTTTGGCGTAATCGATGCAGTCAGAAATCATAGTTGGCCAGAAATATCCTAACCGTTTGATTTTGAAAGCCATTGCTTGTCCCGAAGAATGACTACCACAAAGCCCTTCGTGGACCTCGCTTGTCACTATTTCAACTTCGGGTCCGAAAATACATAAAAGATAAGGATCACTGACGCCTCGCTTGTATAATGACTCTTTAATTATACAATACTTAGCGCTGATGATTCTTAATTTACGAGCTTGCCATTTGTTCGATGGTAGTTCTCCATTAAGAATGAAATTTTTGATGGGTACCCTCCAGTCAGCCCCCCAATCATTAGCGGAAGTATTATCCTTGAGTAGAAACTTCCTTGGCTCGGGTTTGGAAGGAATATAAGGATCTTCGATTGTCTCCTGAACCTCTATATCACCTGGAAGTGACTGTTCGGTTCGAGACGGTTCTTTAATGGTAACCTCTTGATCCTTAATTTTCTTCTTGGCTTTCTTTTAGGAAGTTCCAGTGGTGGGGTAAGTTCGTCATCTTGAGACTTTATTCGTGATCTGGTGATGACAAGTGAACTATTTTCATTTCCGGAACTTAATTTTGGAGTTTCGATGTTCTCGGCTTCCAAAATGTTATCGTTTTTTGTTTCTTCAACTGAAATACTTCGTGAAGAAATACATTCAACTGGGATAACTCGTCTGAGCTCGGGATCTGAGGTAGAAGCTAGGGCAGCTAAAGCGTCTGCCGAAGTGTTTTCTCCTCTAGGTATTCGAACTAATTCGAATTCTTTGAATTTGCCGGCTAATTTTTTGACAGCCGAAAGATAGGCTTCCGTTCTAGGAGCCTTAGCTTCGTAATCTCCAGTGAACTGGTTTACAACTAGCTGAGAATCACAATAAGCTATTATTTTTTCTGCTCCAATCGCAAGAGCAAGCCGAAGTCCTGCTAAGAGAGCTTCGTATTCAGCCTCATTATTCGAAGCCGGGAACATTAATCGAAATGATTGTTCGATTATTTCTTTTGTCGGAGTTTCGAGCCTTATACCGATTCCGGATCCTTGTTTAGAAGAAGAGCCATCTACATGTAATTTCCATGTGGAGTCCGTTTCAACAAAGATTCCATCATCTAATGGTAGTTCGGTTAGAAAATCAGCAAGAACTTGTGCCTTTGCGCTAGTTCGACTTTTGTATTCTATATCATACTCACTGAGTTCGATTGCCCATTTCGCCAATCTACCGGACTGACTTGGAC